TTGAAAAATGTATTGGCACAAATTTCATTTTCAACAAAAACTATGCAAGTATTTGCAAAAATAGGATTTTAAAGTGGCCACCGAAATTTCCTTTCCGAAATCAAGAAAATACTTATCCGTAGCACATATGTATGTCACAGGGTGAGAAAAATGTGCAGCCTGACCGGGACTCGAACCCGGGACCCTCGGAATACCGTACCGCGGCTCTACCGACTGAGCTATCCGGCCGCTTACACATCTTCTCCCCTAAATAGTGAACAGTTCTGAACCGTGACATACTCCCCTGCTATATTGAAATTCGTCCTCGAATTTCACAGAGTTACAGAGCAATGTAAATTAAACTCTGAGCTATATCAGTCACGGTCCCCCGTTGGGCGCCAAATGTCACAGGGTGAGAAAAATGTGCAGCCTGACCGGGACTCGAACCCGGGACCCTCGGAATACCGTACCGCGGCTCTACCGACTGAGCTATCCGGCCGCTTACACATCTTCTCCCCTAAATAGTGAACAGTTCTGAACCGTGACATGTACAATCTTTAATAATGTATTTCCAGTATAAATAAAAGCTTTTTGCACTTGTTCATTTTTCCTCATGTACAGACTAAATCAAATCGAGTCTGCAATTCTTATGTTATTTTGTTGTGATTAATGCTTCCGAGGGATCACTTTATTTCCAGATTTTTTATACTTCACAACAGCAAGTGTCAAGTGTCAAGTGCCGTGTGGCAGCTGTAAAAAGTTGCCCCGTGCTTCATTTCAGTGATGTTATATTTTTCTGGTCCTTCGGGATCCTTGATGCCAGCGTTATTAAGTGTTGAGAATTGAGTACCGCTCAAGCCGGTGCTAGGGGGCGTGAGGGATGTTGCACTTGTTCATTATCCCTCATGTACAGACTCCATCAAACCGAGTCTGCAATTCTTATGTAATTTTGTTGTGATTAATGCTTCCGAGGAGTCACTTTGTTTCCAGATTTTTAATATACTTGTTCAAAACTTATGGTCTTAACTTTCATTCAATATTCATTTTCTTTTTTGAATCAAGTATCTAAAGGAAGCGACGTGATTTTCTTGCCGAATATATGAGTATGGTTTTAAGAGAGATAAAATAAACCACGATAAGTTTGAAACAAATTTTTAATACTCCTACGTAATTAATTTTCATTTTTAAGGCATCACTAGAACGTTCATGAAGGATTCTTTTACTTGAGTCTAAAATTATCAAAATTGACCAAGAAATAAAAAAAGTAAGTAGGGGGCGCCTTGTTTCTCTTACTTAATTTCAGAGTGTGTGTGTTTTTTTTTATTTGGGGATCATATACCGTTTTTCATGGAATGGTACTTATGTGTCACATTGAAGGTTTCATGATAATCGCCATATTAACACATCTGCGGATGTTTCAAAATTCAAAATTGTACCAGTTCATGTTAAGTGTTGAATTTTGCTTAAGCCGGTGCTAGGGGACGTGGACGGTAAATTGCACTTTCCATTACCGTCCATGAACAGGCTCAATCAAACCGAGCCTGCAACATTCTCAGTTTTGTCGGTTTTAGCTTTCTTTAGGGATTCTTATTTTCTCTATTTTACAGAAAGTAACATGATAAACCTTAAAACGATAAGTTAATTCAATCTGATTTAATGCATTTTTATTTTAGGCATTATATAATTATATATCGTATGAAGCATACTTTTAATCAATCCAAAATTATCAAAATTAATTACGAAATAAAAAAGTTTGGAGGGAACGCCGTGTTTTTCTTACCAATTTGAGAGGAAAAAATGAAGTTCATGCCAAATGAAAACCAAGGGCCATAACTCGTAAATGTACAATAAATTTTGATCGTATATGCTGGGCATAATAACCTTCATGCCAAATTTCGTTACAATCAAACAAAAAAGTTGTAAAACATCCGATTAAGAAAATAAAAAATCACAGCAATTTCCTTTTGAAACAAAGGCTAGTATGTGAAAGTTACTAAGTGCCGTAACTCAGTTACCCTTGATAGTGGAATTGGTAAGTCGCATTTCATACATACTTCTTTTTTATTAAATTACAATCTAACAAACCAGTTCCAAGATATGGATCCGGACAAACAGACAATACAATTTCAAAAGTGCCCTCAGATTTCATTGTCATTTCTTCAGTGCATTTTTGCCACAAGTTTATCTTGAATTGTTAAACCGTGCAATTGTCAAAGGCGTTGGTGATACGTTAGGACTGCCTTGTTGAGCAAAATTCTTTACCATTTTTCTGCTTAAAGGCCCATTGTGCTTCAGAAATAAATATTTGATAATAATAATAATTTTTTCCTTCTTTAGAAAAGCAATCATGAATTTTTATAATTTTTAAAGTGCATGTTAGATGCTTATCGCCTGATGAAAGTAGAGCTTTCTGGGGCATAATAGGCCTTTGATTTTAGCTTTATTTTTATATAACATGTGAGGAAGCTATCCAGCTAGCTTACGGAACCTCGGTGGTTCTACTCAGGTGCGCGTTCGTGTCTGAAATAATGCACGGAAGGGCACCTGAGGTCTTCCTCCACCAGTAAAGCAGGGATGTTCCCATATGACCTATACTGTGTCGGCGAGACGAAAAAACCAAATCAAACGAACATAACATAATAAAACCTGTTAAACAACATAGCACAAATTTACATTAAAAGCAGGATGAAGCTATTATACTTCTAAGTATTATAGCAACATAGGTTTTAGTGATAAAAAAACAACAAACACATCAATAAAGGTTTCATATCAGATTTTAATATTGCCTTTTATTCATACCATGATAAAAATGCTTAGACCACACTCATATACAGACGTGTACACAACAGTGTACTATCATTTTAAAACATGTATACACATTCATTTACATAGAATATCATCATTTTACATGTACACATATATTAAATTTTCATCAAAATCTCTGCAAAGATGTATGTACAGTATATAATATATAATCTATCGAATGTATGTATAAAAAATGACAAGATGGCTTATTATACAAATGAACAAAAATTGATAAGTTTATATGTAAAGTTTATATGTAAAACACAAAAAAATGCAAAGCAGATGTAATATGGAATTTATACTACATGTATTAGCATTGAAAAATATCAATACATAATATTATTTAATTAATTCTATATCATCTGCTCACTAAAAATTTAGTTATTTATCAATGGATACTTTATTCATCTAACTTACATTATTCCATATACATCAGTGTTTTGACAGTCGTTAATATTTCCATATTCCTATTAAATTTTTCCATTCAGTTCAAAACAATATTTATTTCATATCTCATAATGATGACGCTTAAATGTTAACTAATTGATCATTAGAGAATTTTCTTAACATTTCTGTTAGCCTTAAATATTAAGATATCACACTTTTCATCAATGTATTCTTATTCATCAATGTAAAGATTCATTAGTATTCCATTATTCATGACTTCTAACTTATTCATTAATATCTCTTTATATTATTGTCTCTGAACTTAATCATTTATATTTCCTTATTCGTCAATATAACAAATATCATTAGCATTTCCTTATTCATCAATATTTCCTAATAACTAAAAATTCCTTATTCATCAATATAAAAACATTAATAAGTATTTCCAACAACAGTTTTTTATTCATCAGTGTGTCCTTGATCATCAATTTAACAATATTTATAGTGTTTTTTTTATTATTAAGGACTAATAATTTCAATATTTCCTTCTTCATAAATGTAAAAATATGAATTGACATTTTGTTCATTCATTGCTGATTTTGTTAAGTAACCACTGATTTAATGGTATATATCCATACTTGATTATTCATTAATGATTCAATATTCACTCTTATTCCTCAATGACTGATAATTCCAATTATTCCTAAATATTTGATTATTCCAATTATTCCTCAATATTTGATTATTCCTCAGTTCTTGATTATTCCTTATACTTGATTATTCACAAATCGTACAATATTCACTGCAATTTTGTTTTTAGTACATTATTTGATGATATTATCAATAAATAATCTATCATCATTGGTAAACATTCTACACACAAGTGCTTGTTCATTTCTGCAACCTTATTCTTTTATGTTTCTGCTTCTACCAATATCTATATATTTATTTAGTGATATTACTTTTTAAATTCTTTATCATTCCCCAATATAAACAATATTTCAAAACTAAAAAGTTTCTACATTAAATATATCATAAAGAAGTTTATCTTACTATTATTTTTTATCTTATCATTTCCAAAGTTTTATCTTTCTCATACAAGGGAGACAAATTATGCAATGTTACATGACAAAAAAAATTTGCTATTTTTTGCCTTTTTGATTTTAAAATGAAGGAATTGTTCCAGCAATAACGTGAAACATCATTCATCTAATTTGCTTGTAGTCATTTTTTTTTTACTTAGGTGATTAAAAACAAAAACAACGAATAAAATTCAAACAATAAGAAACATGTACAAAGCACAAAGACGTCCCATGAGAAAAGTACACAAAGATGTACCATGAGAAAAGAAACAAATGTACATGAAGAATGATATAAATAAATAACAGGTGAATGGAATCATGAAATTACAAACAAATCACAGGCTTAAAAAATATACAAAAAAATATTTCCCTTCCAAAGACTGAATTTGGGCTGTTTTTAAATAAAAGTCTACTTATATTTTCTGTATTATTTTTCTTTACCTTACATAATGAACAAAAATAAATTACATCTCTTTATTCTAAAACCCACTAAAACATGGGAAAAGAAATGCAGTATTAAATTTATCCAACTTCCATCTGTCAGTTTTGGTAATTTAAAATTATTATGTTAAGGAAAATTGTTTGTTTGTTTGTTTCATTTTACGCCTTTTTCCAACAGATGTTAAAGAAAAAGTTATATGGAGGTTATTTAGACAAAATCTGAAATGATGTGATTGTAGAGCCATATTTTACGAGAACAAAAAAACGAATATCAGAAAAAAGCATGCAATGTTTGAAGAAAATTTATAAATTAGGCCAGTGTATATCTTGGAAACATTTTATCATAATATTACAGACTGGCTGGGTAAGTGGACATCAATACCATTAAGCTAGCACTTCCCTTTCCCATTCTAATTTTTAGTTTTATCTGTGTTATAAAGTCAATTAAATTAAAACTCATTTTGCTCAGTCAACATTTTTTAAAGGAACTCCACTGAGGTCTAAAGGCCTATGAACATAAAATTTTAATTTCTTACATAAATCAACTGGGGCACTAAAAACAGGAAGATATGCAAAAGATAATTAAGAAATATACTTAGAAATAATTGAAAATTGTACTTTTTGTTATTCTTTGTCCAATGAGTGTTAAGTGTTGCAACGCTTTTCAATATTGAGTCATTTTTTTTGTAATTAGAATAATCATTCTAGCAAAACAGAGTGCGGAAACAATCTGAAATTTTGCACACTTGAAATTGTCTAAACCTACATCAAATGGGACATTAATCTCGAAAATTTATTTCAGACTCATCATTTTAAAAAACCTCAGTGTAGCCCTTTAATTAAAATATTGCATTACATACATAGACATACATACAATATTTTATGCTTGTAACGTCAAATTTCATTGACCAATTGTGATGTTTATATTATTTATATTATACACAGCTGCTTCATATCAAGCTATGAATTTTCATTTCAATCAAAGAAAACAATTCTGATGTATTATGAATTCATAATTAATCCTTATGACAAGTTATATGGCTGTTAATAAACAGTAGTTTGCTTTATAGACCTCCCCTTATTTGACAGTTTATATGGCAGTATATAAACAGTTGTTAATTTTATAGCCTTCAGGTTAAATGGCAGTACATAAACAGTTGTTAATTTTATAGCCTTCAGGTTATATGGCAGTAAATAAACAGTTGGTAATTTTATAGCCTTCCCTAAGTTTGACAGGTTATATGGCAGTTCATAAACAGTTGTTCGCCATATAACCATAACCTAGTGACAGTTTTGTATAAAATATGCAACCATTGCAACCATATTGGGCCATATAACTAACTGTTCATAAATCCATATAACCTATAAATCACAAAGTTTTACTTTCATGTCAGTTTTGAAAATTCACATTTTCTCACTGATATAAATCATAATTAACATATAAAATGATATGTGTTTAAATTCTTAATAAGCTGCAAGACTTTTTTGTGGAGAGGAAAACAATATACAATTCTAATGTTAAATAAAAGTTTGAAATTATTTTCTGGTAGCTAAAATTTACAAATATATTTAATGTATTCTTTGTTATTAAAAAGTAATTCAAATTTCATAGTCCAATGTCTGCAGGAATTTGACCAAATTGCGATTTATTTCCATAAATCTCAAAGAGATATTATTGGCTACTGAACAGTGAATAATTTCTCTTTTACAATTCCCTTATTTAAAAAAAGCACACTGATAAATGGTGACCATTAGCATTTTAAGTCAAACAATGAAAACGTTAAGCATTTTTTTGATTCTTTGGCAATTAAGGAACTTGGCAAATTTCAAAGACACTAGCTAGGGAAATTGTTCACACTTGAAGAAAAGGAGTAGAGAAATGTTGTAAAGGTGACCGGGTGACTTTATGTTTGGAGGGAGAACTCCAATGCTTTTTTCACTACTATTTCCGACACTAATAGAATCACTGACCTTTTCTTAACCCTTAGCACACTAAATATCTTAAATGGACTAGCCCATATTTCAATCTGGATAAAACCATTTATTATCTTAGGGGAGAATTACAAAATTTGTACTAGATGAATAGAGAACAGTGCAGACCACAATCAGACAGCAAAGATGTGCCTACTGATCATGGTTTGCACTGGTCACATGGATAGTCTTAGCATGATAGACAGCTTGGTCATATACTATTCTTTTAAGAAAAACATAACATCAAAGAATTCTTAGTAAATGGCCAGATTCAAACAGATTATTAGGGGCAAGCCAATAGCCTTAATGCAATGTAACCCGAAAAACTTGCAAACTTTATCATCAAATGAAAAATAACTAACTTATAAAAAATTTCTAATGTTTCCATTGTTTGAACAGCAACAAAAAAAAAACTAACAAAAAAGAAAAAAAAATCACATAAACTAAGACATTTAAAAGGTGAACTGGGAACAAGTGTATTTCAACCCTTACCCCTCTAAATATCTTAAATGGACTTGTCCATCTTTCAATATGAAAAAAACCATTCATTATAGTAAGGGAAATTTTTTCACAAAAAACCTATCAACTGAATAGCAAACAGTGCAGACAATGATCAGTTTGCAGATGTATGCCAGTTGATCTTGGTATGCACTGGTCACATGGTCTGCACTGGTCACATGGTCTGAACTGGTCACATGGTCTGAACTGGTCACAAGGGTAAAGTCAGTTGTCACCAGCAAGCTAAGGTTTTAATAAAGTTGTGTGTACATCTGTATTATTCTGAAATCATTTTTAATACTTTACAATGTTTAACATATAAATATTATGTACATATACACAGATAAGTAAAGTTTTAACAATTAACTGTTGCACAACCATTTTTTTGTTTTCTCCAAATCTATAATACACATACATGTATCTACTAAAAAATTGTCCCAGGGTATGCAAGTTTGTGTCATATCAAAATAACAGTCACTACTGCTGTATATCATTAAATCCATGGCTTAATAAATAAATAAAAAGTAAAGGAATAAATATCAAATAACTTCCAAATATTGTCAAATGAACAAAACCATTAATTGGAAACATTTTTCTCCAGGAATCTTTGTCCTCCGTACCAATAACAATCTGCATCTTGTAAATTTTCCCGCAATTTCATCATATTAGATACCGTCTGCTGTTTTTTTTTCTTGATCAGTTGCAGTCAGAAGCTTGTATGCATTATTTCTAAACTTCTTAGTCACACAGATTTTTCATGCATCAAGACACACAAGAGTTATCTACCTTGGAATGATCACAAAATTATTTGTCTATACATTTCATTTCACGTCATTTGTTTGTACAGAACATAATGTGATAGAATCACATGACTGACACAAAGGTCACATGATGCACCCAAATCACATTCATATACCACATGACACAACTAGATGTCACCCAACATCATTTCAGATGACACACAATGTGTTCAGATGTCACATGACACATTTAGATGTCACACTTTCAGCCTTTCATCCATTTGTGAAAGTCGAAGATGGAGAACTGGCACCAATTTCCTAAACTTTTTTCTTCATTTAATTCAGTCATTTAAAAAATGCTTAGTCATGTAATGACTGAGGGCAAGAGAGAAGTCCCTTTACATATGTAAGAGTAATATCCCCTTTTAAGTATGCAAGAGTGATTTCCCATTACACACAAAAATGCTACTAAAGTATCTTGACAGCAGTATAATATAGCCAACTTTGCTTGCTATCATCTTTGTTGATATTCTGGTAAAGGTTTAACTATGCCCTCTGAAAACAGAAAAATATACTAGCGTTCAATAAAAAAAGTTTTTAAAAAATAATTTCAGGCCATATATAATACATTAGGGCCTTCAAAGTTCACACAGTGCTGTTGAAGAAATAATATCGGTCTCGACAGTGTTCATCGGCTACATTGTACTTAACACCAGTTTGGAGTTCTGATGCGTAAGAATTGATGACCAAGTCCAAATGGGTGACCTTCCCAAAGTTCTAGATACTACATTGAATATGCCTCTATCACTGCAAAATCATCATTATTCATGGGGAACTAATTTTCGTGGTTTTCGTGGATAGGTCAATCAAGGAATATATTAAGATGTAACAAAATTTTATTTCGTCTGCTTATTTTGCATCACATAACATGTATTTACATATTACCTTTTGGAAAAATAAAACTGTTCACAAATTTAAGAACCACAAAAAATGTGACAAAACAAGAAATTTCATGCCTGCGAAGTTAAGTGAATTCAGAGTATTACAATCAACTGCAGAGTAAATACAAATGACCTGCGTACTGTGAACATAATGAAATTTTAGACAATAACAAAATGATCAATTTCATGGAAGAAATTGACAGCTCACTTAAAAAAACAGTGACTGGATACTTATTTTTCTTTTCTACTGACTTATGGAAAACATTTAAGTTGAAAAACCAGAAACAAACAAAGCAATGACCTGAAGTCGAAACTGTAATATAGCAACAGAGAGCACGGGCATTGTTAATACTCAGGCTTTATTTGAACAAACTGGTAGACACCCATTAGAAGATGTTTCATGCTAAATATCTTAGCTCTAGCTGTTTGGGTTCTTTAAAAGAAGATTTTTTAAGTTTTTACTATATAGATATAGGGAAAATCAATGACCCCCTGGGGCGGGGCCAATTTTGACCCCAGGGCTTTTTTTTTTTTTAACAAACTTGGTAGACACTCACTAGAAGATGTTTCATGCCAAATATCTAAGCTCTAGCTCTTTGGGTTTTTTAGAAGAAGATGTTTAAAGTTTTTTCTTTTGGTTGCCATGGCAACCAGAGTTCTGCATGGAATGGAATTCTTTGAACAACTTTGTTAAGGCTTTACACAAGGAACATCCCTGTGAAGTTTCATTATGATCTGCCTTATGGTTTCAGAGATGTCGTTTGAAAAGTGTGAACGGACAACAGACGACGTACGACGGACGAAGAGTGATCCTAATAGCTCACCCTGAGCATATGCTCAGGTGAGCTAAAAATGTACAATCTAACCTTAAGTCTTGTTACATTGGGTATCTACATTAATTATCACATAAAATTACAAGGTAGAAAATGAGCAACTTAGTTTTCTTACCATTAAAACATCTTATGATTGCTTCACATACAAATTTATACTGGTTCTGAAAAACATACAAAATCAATTATTACCATACAGAAATGAACGGAAAAGTGAAAATTGAAATAACAATACAACACAGTTTCCATTGTGGATTCAGAGCAAAATAATAGCATAGTGTACACAATAAACATTTTAGAAAACAGCCGTGTTCAGAAATTTTACCAATTAACAACATAAATAAGATTTGAGATATAATAACATTGAGATATTAAAAGAATATTAATAATGCTGATGACAGGTAATTTGAAAGAGTATAATTGTTTATAATTAAGTTTGAATGTTATGTATTTTATAGGAATGGGAATGAAAATCAGAAAATCGGCAAAATATTTGAACATGAAATTCTGAATAAAGACTTTTTCCCCCCCAAAAAAATATTTAAAATAATATTTCCATAGAACTTGAACAACCTACTCAGGGATTCTACAGATGGTGATCTTAAGTAATTTATATAAAAAGTTAAAACCGAATATGCCATTATAATTGAATCTGACAAAACCGAATATTCAAATACTGATTTCAGAATTCATTCCCATCCCTAGTATTAAAGTTTGATCATGAAGACAGTTTTAGTTTATTCAAACAACTCTTTGTAATAATTATTGTAAAATAAGAAAACATTGTTGTAAACCCAGTATGGTACGACCCAATGTTACCTGCTTTGAAGGGTATGCGGCAGTCAATATATACAAACTGGCCTGACTCTACTATACTTGATATACAGGTGGCATTCTAAATTCCTTTTTGCCTACTTGATTTCAAAGAGATTAAGTTAGGTAAACATACCGGAGTCTGTATTAACATCGCTCTCTGGTCTCTCATTTGCCTAACTATAGACAATGGATATACTGGTTGATTAGCTTCTATAAGACACATGGCTGTTTCCATGGTGATTAAAACACCTGTTCTACCAATACCAGCACTGTAAACAGATAGTTACAGTGTTAACACATTAAATTCTATAAAAATAAGATTTGGTTTTATATTTTTTTTAAAAGTATTTTGCAGCATTAAAAAACAAAACCATAAGAAAAACAAACAAAAAATGCTACAAACTTGGTTAAATACTGTTTGTAAGTATTTATGAGTTTAAAGCCTGAGTATTGTAAGTAATGTTTAATTTAACAATCTGAACATCTTGGATAAAATTAACACCTGACTAAACCTCTCAAATTACCATCAAACTCTACTGAAATACAATGCTCTAAAATAACTAAGGTTAAGACCATGTATTACATGTAGAACCTTCATACTATTTACACTTTCAATGATCTTAAGTTCGAACCCAAAGGCACTGTCTCCCTAGTAAATGACTATGACAATAACAAAGTGAGCTCTGGAAAAAAACAATTCACCTATAAATCAACGACCACTTACCTACAATGGACTATTGATGGTTCTACTAGACCGACCCGTTTTTGCCGTACTTTCTGTACAAAATCGAGGAAATCGGCCGGATCATCTGGTACACCGTGATCCGGCCATGCTATATACTGCATGTGAGATATATGTCGCTCCTCCGCCGACTGTAATAAACACAATAATAATATGTTTGATGGTTACTAAAACTTATGCTGAAGTCAATAATAAGAAGTTAGTTGTTCACTAAAATTTATGTTAATAACAACTTAATATTTTAATAGCAGGTAGACTCTATTTATCAATACCAACTAAAACTACACACATAAAATACTCATTACCATTCACAAAAGTTTGACGCCCTTGCTTTTCAATTTTACGGAAGTGAAACAAAATATGTTCCCTCTTAAAATTATAAATTGTCATGGTTTGTATAATATGATAAAAAGATCACAAACCAACTAAGTTTATTATAACATGTTTCTCTTTATTAAACTTCATCAGTGAGTTGATATGATAAATAACAAAGGAAATGACATAAACATACAAAACAGACGTGTAAGTTGATAGACGCCAAATTTAGCACGTAAAAGGAACGGTATTAAATAAATATAGTGTTTGGAAATGAATTGTTGAAGAAAAGATTTAAGTTATTTATCCATTTTATTGAACAAAGGTATATATTATTTAAGTATCTCCTTGTTAAGGGAAGTATCTGTTATTCCTTATTCTCAAGCTATTTCTCAAGCTACTGATACAATGCCCCCATTCAAGATATCAAGAGAATATCCCTTTCCAATGACTTACCTCCACATGAGTCAAGTTAAATTCCCTAAATGCAAATGAGGCTGACTCCTCCTCTTTAACACATGTGATCTGTAGAGGGCCAAAGTCTGAAGTCTCGTACAGGTCAGGCCAGTACTGGTGACATTTTATACGACCTCGCTCCACCTGATGATACAAAAATATGTAAAGATTAAGCCCGAGATATTTACTGTTATGTTAGTTAGGCTAGAGAGGTCACTTTTGATCTCATAAAGTGTTGTAATTTCATTATCGCAGAACTATACAAATAAATTCACAGGAAAAGATAAATTCAAGTTCAAATAAATTGTTGTATCATACAATGGAGCATTCATAAACACACTCATTAACGAAGAATCTACATGCATGTGATAAATGTTATAAAAAGCATATATCATTAATGAATTAGATAATAAAATGAGCCGTGCCATGACAAAACCAACATAATGCGTTTGCGACCAGCATGGATCCAGACCATATGTTGGTTTTGTCATGGCACAGCTCAAATATCTAGATATAAGATGTATACCTTGGTAGTAAGCATAACGACTAGTGTAGATTGTTGTTCCCAGATCATCTGCCAAAAGTCTATACACGTAGTTGGCAAAGGACCCTGAGCGGCTATATATCGGTTCAATATTCCAGATACTGGGATTTCCATCTGTAAATAAAAACAATCTCCATTTATTGACCCATTCATTTTTTTGCCTTTGGTGTATAAGGTCAAATCTTCATTGCCTTGGGTTAAAAATTGAGTTTTAAAGGAGTCTAACCTACAGGTAAACCACCAGACAAGATCCACAGAACAAAGCTAGATACCTTGAAGAAATCAACACATATCAACTTACCTGGAGGGATTCCTACTCACATAACTTTTTAAATGCTCTTGACATAATAGTAAATTATTCAACTTTGACCTTTTACATCCACTACAATATTCTTGGAAGATTTTTATCAAAAAGCTGTTACATAAAGCATATCCTTACATTCATGTCATATCATTTCATCAAATTTTGTTTTGTTAAACTTAGAAGACAAGATTAGTGCTATGGAAAGGGAAGAAGATATTTTGTGCACATGCCCCATTACAAAACTTCTGAGATCACAAAAATCCACAAGCATTCCTACAGTGTAATTATGATGTTCAGTAACACCCATTTCAAAACGTTTAACTGTTTTCAATATACCACATACTAAAAGAACATTCCATCATAAAAGAACATTTATAAAAGCATTCTTTTCCCTAATTGATATTTAGAACTAAGTCTTGCTAATTCTGTATCTGCATATGTGTAAATCCCATGGTATGCTAATAGAAACATTTCTTTTCTGACATACATTTCTTTTCCCAAGTACTGTAAAATAACAGTACTCCAGGTGAAGGAGGTAATTTATTTTTTCAAGGCTTGCAACAGTAAAGGTAGGCACAGGAATTTGGAATTTAAACTGTCCACACTCTATTAATTTAGTTACAAAGAAATTTGATAGGCTACATGTACATAGTACAATATGAATGGTAATAAACTTATATAGCAAACACTGTCATGTGACTGGTCAAAAATCTGCAAAATAATTTTTTTATATATATATTTTTTTTTTATTTTTTTTTGGGGGGGGGGGGGTTTATGTCACACCAACACAGTATAGGTCATATGTCAACTTTCCAGATTTACTATTGGAGGAAGACCTTAGGTGCCCTCCTTTGCATTATTCCAGACACGAAAGAGCACCTGAGTAGAACCACCACATGCCAAAAACTACATGGATAGCTTCCTCACATGAAAGAATCATAAGTAAGTCCCTATCGGGATTTAAACCCACAGCAGTGAAGGGCAAGTGTTTTAAAGTCAATGACCAAAACCATTCAGTCACAGATGCACCTATGATAAATTTGTAACACTGGAGAATTGTTTTCTCAGAAATAACTCAGAAATAATTTACAGCAGTCATGCACATACATAACATACATTCATCAGTAAAAGCTCTAAATTGAAATAAGTTTTTATTACCTCCCTTTCATCAAATGTTGATTTTTCACACAGACAGTTTCATAATCATTTACAGTATTTATTTTCAAAAAAAATTATATAAATGTTATAATGTACACTGTCAGGTTCAAGTTGCTATGGTAACAATTATCACTTTATATTCATATATTTCACAAGTTGTTAATAATCCAAACCTGACACAAACATAAAATGTTCAAAACTTGTGTACAGAATGTTTTGTTTCTATATCTTAATATAGTGTGGAAACTCTTACAGAACTTAAACTTATATAATTATGCCAGTTAAGAAACCTTAACGAATTCTAGTGACATCATGCCAGTATAGAACAATATTCAGATTCAAACTTACTTGCCATCATGCCAATGTCTACTGAAATCACACCAGAAAGGGACCCTAAAAAAATTCAAATTGACATCATCCCAGTTTGGGACGCTAAGAGAATTCTATGACATAATGCCAGTGTAGAAACCCTTTGGGAATTCAAACTTACTTCAAGCCAGTTAAACCTTCTTTGCAGTTATGGAAAAATTAAATACTTACATTTACATAGTTGGCATTGATATAGTCCCCGTTGTTTGCGTTCTTAATCATAACACGGGTCTGATCATCTGTGAAAATGAAACTTTAAGGATTAGAATGACAGTCTGATGTTGATTACATTGTTAACTTTGTTTTATTCTTATTAGTTATAGAGATTTTAGACAGGTTAGACATGGCACTATATAAACCGTTATTTGCATACATAAATCCAGAGCCGTCAACAACCAAGGGTTATATTGCATATAACCATCTATATACAGCCATATAAACTGTCAAGAATCTTTTTAACGAAATTAATAATAAAGCAAAATTCCTTATTTTCAGAAAAAAAATTTAATTACTTTATAACAGAAGTTGTGTATATAGTTTTTATAACCCTCTAGATTATCCAATGAAAAGCAACGTTACAAATGTGTAGTATTATAGTACATATAATTGTATATCATCTATTTCAGGTACTAAATGGCCGTTGGTTTATTCTGCACCAGACCTTTACTTCATTTTTCTAAGAATAAACTGTTTCTGCTTATTTCCTATGTTAAAATCACACACTAAAAGTTTATCTCCCTATTATTAATCAGAGCAACACAACAAAACAAAGCTCCTCACAAGAGCATAAAAAAAGGTTAAAAATTTTTACCCAAACTCTTAAGTTTTCATAAAAATTCAACCAAATCTGCATAGATTTAATATATGGCGTTAAAAAAAAACCCTTTTAATCTTTAGTGGCAATCGAATCTACACATGCAACCAGTGTATACCAAGAATATCCAATAGATCCTTTCTGTCTGATCATGGTCTGCACTGTTTGGTATTCAGTGGATACATATTTTGAAATTTTCCCTAAAAATCATGAAATGGGCTTGCCCAGAATGAATGATGGACAAGTCTATTTAAGAAATGTAGGGTAGGTATGAGATAACTTACAAGGTGATATATCTCTGTATCTGTTCTTTGGTACATTGGCTTCTAATCGTGCTATGTTCATAGTCATACCTGGTTTCTTCCTATATAATTGCTGAAAATCACAACATATAATATATCAATACACTTGTACTGTACATCATTACATGCAAGACTATATGAGGTTAGAACAATACTGAATTACACAGCTGGCAAACCTTTACTGGACAAGGCACTAGCCAAGTCTGATATAAATTTTGCAGCTGTAAATTGCTTTCAAATATTATCTATATATATATATAATTACCTCCCAATTTCACACCACCATTTTTATTGTTACCGCATTTGCATTTCATATGGATATTTTGAAAAAGTAAAAGAGGATAAATTGATAACATTGTACATGTATCTAACAATGATTTCTGTTGGAACATCATATGGTTCAAATCTTGACGGCTCATTGGTTATATTTCGTATGTGTGAAATAATATGCAGTATGAAAACACTGCCCCTGTACATCATAACATAACATATGTGACTACAAAATTTAATCAAAGTGCTGAGGCTAACTATGATACACTAATTCTAAGAAAATGTCCTCAGTTCATCAAATCGTCAACCCTAATAACAGTGATACAAGAAGGCCAAGACAACCCAAGATAGCTCAACTCTGAACATCTGCTAAACATTTTTATTTGTTTTTTTAGTTTTTAAGGCACAAAGGTCATAATTCTGGCTACTTTCCAACTTAACTTGTGGAGGAAGACCTCTGGCGCCACTATGTGCTTTATTTCAGGCACAATCAGACACAAAAGTAGAAGATGGACCTCTTATATGTAAAACAACAGACCTAATCAGTAATCATACATAGAACCACAGATCTCTCATAAGTAAAACTACAGACCTCTCATAACTAGAACCACAGACCTCTCATAAGTAGGACAAGTGACCTCTTATATACAAATCAGAAGGGAGACCTCTGGTGCCATTCCATTATTCTCCTCACAAACAGGCACCTGAGCAGAACCACCAACATTTGGTAAGCTAGCATCCTCAAATGAAAGAATCCAAAGTATCTGTTGGGATTTGAACATATAACAGTGAGGGGCAAGTGGTTTGAAGTCGATGACCTTAACCACTCCACCAAGGTTGCCCCCATTATCACTTCTGGGTGAACTACAATAAGACTTACTTCAAATTGAGCAAGTGCCGCACCACTCTCTAAACTTTCTTCTAATAATTTAAGGGACAGATCTAAAGCATTGGCTCCTGTTGTAGCACTTGATATTTGATGAGTTTCAGGATCATACACAAAATCAGGCTCGTCTGAATTATCGTCACCTGAATACGCTGTAAATAAACAAAAAATATAAATCAGAACCGTCTGAATTAGTGTCACCTGAATATGTTGTAAAATAAACAAAAAATAAATCAGAACCGTCAGAACCGTCAGCTGTCTGAATTATTGTCACCTGAATATGCTGTAAATAAACGAAAAGTAAAACATGAAATTATGACTGGTAAACTTTTTCCATATCAAAAGTTGAAACATTTAAAGTTTGCTATAGGAGGCAGACAATTGAGAGGGAATAAAACACTACAAATACTGACAAAAGCATGAAAATAAATGTAATTTTTTAATCTTAACATCATCTTTAACACCATCCTATATGATATGACCATCTATATACTAAATAATTTTATAACTTACAAACTATGATACAATGAAATATGCATTAAGGAAATTATTATAAAATTGAATAGATTTTTTAATCTGGTACACCAATTTTTGTTTTTCTGAAGTATTCATAAATTATAATTATTGTACAAACTTAGCTATAGTTGAAAAAAAAGGAAAGCTAAAAAATAAACAGGTAAACATAAACAATTTCTTCCTTTTTCATTTAGAAATGAAGAAATGATAATATTTTCCCTAAATTTTTTTGCAATATAAAGGTAGATAATTTGCAACATATGTATAATAATAAGCTGTACATGACCAGTAACTAGATACAGACATAAAAAAAAATATTATGCATTCATTATTTCATCCTTGAAGGACAAATTGTAAACTAACCCCCATTCATTGAAAGTTCATTTCAAAAATGTATTATCTCAGCTGCTATATAGAACAAGATACCACATCTTGTAAAAGCTAGTCAAGGTATGTACATACCAGACAGGTAATTAAATACCTGCACTGTCTAAATGTATGAGCTGTTTTTTTATTATACGAATCACCAAAAGGATAGTTCTAAAATAAATTCCATAAAGTTATAAAGGATAGTTCTTTGCAAACCACAATAAAGTGAAATACAAAATTTCTACGATTCCAACCTCAAAAATCTTAAACACCACAAACTAAATGAGTTAATTAAGGATTAACATTCTGATTCAGTCAATCTTAAGATTTCTGGTTCATTTCACTACTGCACAAGAACTTCAGTCTTACAGCTTAAGTCATATGGTGCCAATCTGGCTTTACTGGTGAAGAAGCCCTGTTTTCTCTCCATTTAATATAAGAGGTACACACCAGCCCAAGATGTCAGGTCCCCTATGCTTTCTATTTCAGGCATGAGCCAGCCGATAGACTCCAGGTGCCCCTATTTAAAGTATTTCAGGCATGATATAGCAAAGGCCCCAAGGTGCCCTGTATTGTATTATATTTATACATGAGCATGCCCAAGAAACCAGGTGCCCCTATATCTAATATTTAAGGCATCAGCGAGCACAAGACCTTAGAAGCCCCAGCAGGCCCTATGTTAAATATCTCAGATAAGAGCCAGCCCATAGACCCCACCCCCCTGTCCCAGATCATGAGACTTCAAAACCAACAATTTTTTAAATACAACCCTCTCATAAAAATATTTATAACTTTATATTACATAAGGAAAATTATGCTCTCATTTTAAAGTTTTCCCTTGTGAAACTTTATACCAACAATTTTTTATTTCTTTTGAAACCGGCAATCCTTGCATCAATGTACAGATGTAATTTTTGATAACATAAAATACAGAATATAAAACCATAAAAACCATCTGAAAAATGAATACACCACGATGCAATTCATCTTGTCAAAAAATAATTAAGTGTCATATAACATGCAATATTATATAGTCTTACGAAAAAACATGTTAGATTTGATGGTACACACAAATGAAATAAGTAAACAAAGAAAACAAAACTAAGGAAGAAAAATTGATATGCATTAACAAGATACCATTAAATTTTCTATTTTTGGATTCTAATTCTGTTAAATAGTTTTTTTATGTAATTATCCTTTCAATATACTTATTCCTAGAAATCACAAAATTTTATAAAAATTTTTCACTGAATTCAAATTCTGATAAACTTGATAGCAGGTGAATAGCAGAATGTTAAAATTAGATTCCTAACATCCTGCATTATGGTTTTGGTAAATTCTGAATTTTCTGAGACCAAAATTGAGGTTACTTCAATTTTATTGTCTAATATATCAAACTAAGACAGCAACTCAAATTTGAAATTTACCTAAGCATAGCAATATACATGTATGTCATTTTAGCTCAACTGCAAGGATAAAAGTTAGAAACCTAAAACAAGTCTACGCTTTTCTGATGGATTGGAATTGACAAGTGTCATTGAATTTGTTTGTGTGTGTGAGAAATCCTTGGTACTATATATGGATTCAATCCAATGACTAGATTTGAAAAACATGACTATGCGCCCACTCTTGACCTAATTTTAATGCCGGATTCTAAGTCTTCATGCATTGACCATCAGCCCACTCTTGACCTAATTTCACTGCAAGATTCTAAACTTTCGAGCTGACACAAAGTTTCAGTCTAAAATTGCTATCCATTTGGGCCTGTTTAATATTATTATTTTTTTTTTACTATTATGAGAAGTTCCTAGAATAGAGAAATAAAATCACAAAAAAAATTTTCATGATTAAAAATATGACAATACAGGTATATTAATAGTGTTATAACTTCTATCTATATAAGGGATGTTAATATTTAAACATTCATATATTAGGATCACACATATTATACAATAATGGACCACTATTACCTGATGTTATTATGCAGTATATAAAAAAAAAACAAAAAAAAGAACACCCCATTCCTTGTAACACATTTTTAATACATACCATTCGGTCTAACTATCAAATTAAGATCCTTCGTACGAGACTCCCTCGATTGTCTTATAAATAGCACAACCTAGGAAAAACGGCACAAAAGACGATAATGAAAACCAAAGAAAAAAAAAGCAAATGAAAGTAACTTTACAGCATGCACACTTACCATTCGGTCGAACTTTTAAAACTAGTTCTCCGGAATGCGTTTCACGAGAGGCACGTATAAACATGACAACCTGTGCAAAGGGAGGTATATTTTCTTAAATTGTTATCAACATTTGTCAAAAAAAAAAAAGCAAAAAAAAACCCTAAGAATAACCAATTTCAGATAAAATCAGCATATATTATATTATAAATTATTGAGAAAGAAACAAATATATATATATTTCATATTAAAACAGCATATTTTAAAAGAATTCATTTTCATCTTACATTAGATAATAATAAATTATGGAGAAAATGAAAAATAATAGTAAGTAATATTTTGTTCTTTTATATATTTTTTTTAAGATTTTTGTTTACTTTTAAATGACATCATCACTGTCAAAGTCACATGACAACTTAAAAAGGTCACATGATCAGTTTCTAGTTTTCAATGGTGAAGGAAGAGGTCAGATTGCTTATATTTGTGTATGTTTAGACGCTGACAGAAAACCGAGTACAACTACTAACTGTCTAGCTGTCCAGAACTTATATTTTATTTTAAGAATTAACACTAGTGACCTAAACTTGGTGCGTCACTTGCCACTGCCTTGGAGGCCACAAAAATGGGGTGGTTTTTTTTGGTATTTCACTTATTCAGTTATATTTATAGTAGTATATATAAAAGATATGCATAAGTTTTATCTTGGTATACTTGAGAATATTGGATAATTTCATTGAAGATAAAATTTTGTGAATTTAATAAGACAGGGATGAAATTCAGTACTTCTGAATTAAAAATATTTGTGTTTTTCCCCAGCTTATCTGGGGGTAAAAACAAACTTTTACAGTTACAACATGATAAAATTATTGAACAAAATTAAGAGCAACACATTCATCATCCAACAACTGGGCATCGTGAAGCTGTAACCGTAAAAATGTGTACCCCACAAAAAAGATGGGAAAAAACCAATATTTGATAAGTTTTCTTTTTCTTCTCTTTTTTTATGAGTTTTGGATAACCTCAATTCAGGAAGCATTTCCTGAGAAAGTTAGACTCATAAAACAAACCAAATGTATCATCATCATCATCAACATCATCATCATCATTATCAGTCATCAACATCAATCATCAATACCATCATGATCATCAGATGTCATAACAGACAAATTAAAATTATTCAGGCAAATAAGTTAAATAATTTCTGACATACCTGTTCATGTGTATGTTGGGAGACGTCTCGACCATTTATAAAAAGCACCTGGTCCCCCTCATTAAGGCGAGGTATAGCATTATCCGCTGGAGTGTTGGGAGCCACCCGTGATACTATTATAGGCATACCCTGATCTGCCCCTCCCTGAAATCATCATATATAAAAATCATCCATATCTATTGCTTATCAAGTCTTTGTAACTTTCTTTCACCAATTCCTTTCAAGTTGACAAGTGAACAAAAATTAATTACACATTTTGTGCAGACAAAAACATTTACAGACAGACAAGAATATGAAATGTGTATATATAAAAATATCATGTAACTTTACATAAAGCATCTGCAATATCATTTTATGAACAAAAGCTTTCTGACAAGACAGCCTCCTAACAATTCACAGCATTATAGATGGTTAAATAAGAGTTGAGCTGAATTGTTTTCTATATTATTCAAAAAGACAATAATTCAACTACATCTCCAGATTAAGAGTTATGGTTCTTGAATACTGACCATCAATTGCGTTTTGAAAAAGAAAATTAGTGATGTTCCAAGAAAAAAACGTAAGTGGTTAAGTAGATATGAAACTGCATTTTGCAAAACCTTATCCAAGAATTGCCATAATAGGAATAAGTTGAGCCTAGCCCAACTTTTTTCCCAATATTTAGATATAAAAAGATTTCAGCCATGAAGACTCAAGTATAATGTTCAAAAGAGTAAAATGTTCAGAATGAAGCTTAGTAACCTACCTTGAAACATGACAACAATTATCATTTACATAAAGGTGACATCATCTCTTCTTTTTTTCCTTTTTTGTTGGGTTTTGCACCAACACAGTAAAGGTCATATTTACTTTTACTGGTGGAGGATGGCCTCAGGTGCCCCTCCATACATAATTTAAGGCACATGCGGGCACCTAAGTTAAGAACCACCGATGTTATGTAAGCCAGCTGGATAGTTTCATCACATGAAAGAATCCAAAGCCCCTGAGAGAATTCTAACCTACAGCGGTTAAGGGGCAAGTGGTTTGAAGTCAACAGGGGTAACCACTCAACCACAGAAGCACCAACAACATCTTTCAATTACACCTGAATGCATGTTTATCTTGATAAACCTGATTACATGGGCACCAGAGTAGAACCAAAGACCAATATGAAAACAACTGGTATCACTGCTCTTTATGTAAAAGAACATGAAATCCCTGGTAGGACTCGAAACCACTTTGAAACCATGCAAACTATTCTACATATAGTAAAAATAGGAAAAAAATAAGCCTGACTTAAGAAAAAAGAAAAAAGAATAAAAATAGATACAATTAAAGAAGAAAGCTAAAGAAAAAAAGATCATTAAAATTAGGAAGATACTAAGAGAATAGATTAAAGTTGTTAAAAGATGAGAAAAATAAAAGGATGCATGCTTTAAGGCTGGAAAAAATAATGAAGATAATTCACAGAAGCGAGTCGAGTTCAGATTTGTAGATAAAATATAAATAATAAACAAAAAAGGCAAATACGAGGAGAGAGTTCTTTGCGTCCGCTATGGTGGAAGTGCGAGGAGATAAAATAAAAATAAAATAAAGAATTAAATAAGAGACGTTCTAAGAACGGATGACTTAAGCGTAGCTGGAAAATAGTAAAATAATTTATAGGGTAAATAAAGAGGCTAATAACAAGAATTGTGAAGAATAGACATAGATATGAAGAAACATAAACAAAAAAAAAAAAAAAAAAAAAAAAGAAGGTATATTAAAGATTGGGTTGGGGTTAATGAGGATACGTCACCTGACATTGGAAGCAATCTGGGCCACCTGGGATCATCCGGGGATCATCCGGATTGGTAACCAGACCCTGTCCATCAAGGTAACCATTGCCATTAGGCTGAAAATAAACAAACAAATAAACTCAATATACTTTATATTAACACATAACCATTACATGTGAAAAATAAAATCATTATTATCATATTCCTGCTGCAGTGGCGATTTTTTCATTTCTGTTTTTTGTAACACAACATAAATTATGGGACAGAAATCAACTCCAGTCTCACTCAATAATACCTTTTTTGCACAAGCTTACATTTTGAATCAAAATTCACCTTTCTTCTGATCAAAGCCAAAGCATTTATCAGTACATGTATATAATTATTCTACTTCTAAATTATAACTTTATTCTACATAACAGTAGATTATTCTACCTAACATATAAGCTAATCTATAAGTGTACTTCTTCAGAACAAACTTCTTCTACTGAATACATTACAGATAAACTTCAATAACTTAGGACACTCTCCATTATTTCATAAAAGAATTCAGTACATCATCACCACATTGACTGGCCCCTTATAATACAAATATGAATTTCAAAGCTATATTACATTCCCCCCACCCCCAACCCCAGTTATATTGACAATGCAGAAAAGACAGAAATAAATCCTCTATTACCTGGAAAACAATTCCTCAGGAGCAAAAAGTATAGATCATTTAAGATAATGTGACAGTATAGATCATCCAAGATAATGTGTTGGTATAGATCATTCAAGATAATGTGTCAATTATAATCAGTCAATATGTAATATCTCAGTACTCATTACTTCAAATAACAAGCCAAATATTGATTTTTTTGTAAAATGCAAAATTCTACATTTTCAACTTAACATTTATTTGTTATTTGCTAACATGAATTAGTACATTTTATTGTATTTCTTTTCAAAAAATTTTCATTTTGATTGTTAATTTGAGCTTTTTTAGACATTTTTTGAAAGTGAAGTACCACATAATATTATGTATCATTCTAGATATGTTTTTTATGTGTTCAATATTACATGTAATAACAAATTGATAAAACAAGCCTTGTATTTCAATAAATTCCAAGATCTATATAACACTAATATCAAATATCCACCCTCAAGTATTCATTTCATTCAGGCTATATTATCCTATATTGCACTACAGCAGAATATAATAACTAAATATACAACAATATTTCTAGGGCAACTGACAGATTGTCCTCAATGATTAATACATCAAAATACTGCTACTAAGCGAATTCCACAGACACATGCTCTCAGAAAATACAACAGAACTTTCCCACACTTTTATTCATGGAGAAAAAACTTCAAACAATTTAGATATCCACTATTTCCGTGTGAACTAATGCTATATCAATCTCGTGGAGTGTCATTCTCTAGTGATTAACTTCTTATCTATAGTGAAAACAATAAAGCTCTGGGATTTAAGATTTTATAACTGCAAATAGGCTCTTACTCGACAATAATTAGTGTAGCCACTTTTTCATTAAGAGACCAGTGCTGATAGTGATAATTGTGATTGGCATATTTTAATTAGCCAGGTCAGGTGTTTCTAAAAAGGCTGATAACACTGATGCAATTTGAGTATATATTCAAATTTATTACATAGATAATAACGTGGATTGGTAAGTGACAAATGATTACATAGTAACATTTTGATATCCTTATAAAATGTTTATGAACTGTTTTAATATTTCTAGAAAAAGTAAGTTTCATATAATAGGAATGAACTGCATTAATAATCAAAGATAATTATGAAGATGTGAATAAAAATAATTACTTTGAATTACATTGCAGCAGTTAGGTAATTTGACAGCCATCCACCTGTAGACTAGGAAACATGTTGTACGTGACTCGCTGGGAAAAACAATGTTTTTGCTTAATTAAAGAGGTGACACTTTCTATTTTTTATCTGAATATCGAGTTGTAAGAGCCGATTTGCAGTTATATAGGTAAGAGTTCGATAAGACTCCCTACGGTCGTCTTAATACGAACTCTTACCCATACTTAATACAGCCTTTTGGACCTCGACTGCAAAAAACAGCATATGCATTTATAGAAATCCCTAGAATTTTCTATGTTTTACATTTCTATATTCATCAAAATATGTTTTCTATTATCAGGAATACGTATTGCTTTAAGGATATTTTAGCCCATTATATGCAATGAAAGGTTGCACAAATCTGCAGGATTTACAATAAAATGGTGTGTTACCAATAAATTTTCTTTTATCAAAAGTTTTTTTAATATTCACTGGTGACTTATCGTTAAAATATTCAGTATTTTACAACTTCCCACACCATAATTTTTAAATGTCACATTCATTTAACAGTATTAAGTTATTCTATAGGTTAGACAGGCTTTAAATACATGATACTGAAGTATTGAACACAACTGTAATTAAACTGTTGTAGCATTTTATGTAACACAAGATGTGGAATAAAAAAACTCAATCTGTCATACACAGTCCATGAAGCTTAAGCTATGCTGTCAAGAACAGATACTAAATCAAAATGAATCTATTAACTCTTGCAGTACATGTATGACATATACATTACATATATATGTAACAATTTTCTTTACATGTTTACTTCTCGAATATTTATTTTTTTTGATAAAAGCGTTTTCGACTTTCTTTTCAAAAATTTGGCACCAATGGCAAAAATGCTTTACCTATGCAAACAATATTGACTGAGGCCTGAGTCATACCTAGGGCTGCTGAGGGCTTCAATTTAATCTATGCTGGTAGCATATTAAATCTGTGTCCTTATTGCACATAATGCAGTATTGAACCAGACTGAATGAAACACCTTAAACCACCAAAGTAAATATCTCCTTTTAGCAAGGAGTAAATTCATATATAAACATTTTTTTTAGTTTTGGTAAAATCAAATTAAATTACACATAAAGTTTTTTTTCTACCTTATAATTACATGTGTCATCAAGCAGACAGTTTGCTTCAAACTTGGGAATATAATACTTCATAATTATCTTGTGACAAGCCATTAAACACTAATTTACTATCAATTAACACAGTGTCTCCTTCAAAAATAGATATTGTTGGTATATAAAACCCTGTGAATGGGTTGAAGGTTATAGCAACACTGTCTAGCCTCTGAGGAAACATATTAAGTAAGTCCATTGTGAGGAAGCCATTAGGGAATCCAGCTAAGCCCTTAATACAGAACTATCTATTTGGTTCTACTCAATGCCATTGTGCCTGAAATATTTTTATGCCACCAAAAAGGGTAGAGAGGTTCTTTCTCCCCCATATGATTAGCTTTTACTTGCTGGTGCCCATTTAAACCCCAACAAAAAGCAATAAAGCTATGAAAGGAGTTGGGCAGCTCCTGGCATTCTTACCTTGATAAAACCAACCAGTAAATCGATAAATACATTGTATTTGCTTAAGGCATTTGACACACTGTCTAAAATTAGAAATATGAAAGGTAAAGTGATGCTAGTGCTATAACCATCCAAACCTAAAATTCTGAGGTTTCAAAGACCAAACACCCTCCCTTCATTTGGGTCATGATAAATTAACCTATAAACCTGTTATTTTAATGGACTATTCTATTTTCTATTTTGGAACTGTCCATTATCTGTTTTGGGAATATCAGGATGCAAGTTTGAATTTGCGCCGTCATCAGTATAGACAGAGGTACAGGCTGGCTCCATACCAGTGGCTAGGGTCAAGATTGCTAAGGGTTAAAATGATTTTAAAAAGTAGACACAGTTCAGGTAATCCTAAAGAATGTGAAATTATTTTTTTTTTGTATCATGTAAAGAGAATTTATACATGGAAACATTCCAAAGTTCGGAAAAGGTTGTCAATGTTTGCTTGTGTAAAAAAAACAATATCTTTATCATTTCCAACAGTGTTAACATTTTGTTTGAACAATGTGGAAAAAAAAATATGTGATTGATTGAAAAATATTAAGAAAATAGTTTATCGCAAGAGGGACTTCAGCGGGACATAAATTAAACTATAAATATAGGTGAACATTAAAATGTCCCAAATGCATCAAATCTTTAAAATGCCCAAATACAGTTAATTCACCTCTGCAGATCGAGCGCAATCAAATTTTGTAGTCTCGGTCATCAGACTTCACATTTTTGGTCAATCTGTGAAGATTTAAGATTTTGATGTTGCAATCCCTTCAACCTATAATAGCTTGTCCATAAAACAGCAGCTGGACAAGTCCATTATTCAGATTCAGCAATATTAAAGGGAAAGCAAGTTACAGAATATTTACAGAAGAGAAGAAGAAATTTAACAGCAATGATCGTTTTACAAACACCTCATCACTCCAAAGGTAAGGTAAGCATGAAATTACCAGTTTTAGAGCTTTTTAAATCGTTTTTAAGTTTTGTTTGAATTACTTTCACTGTACTTTTATGATGATGACAAATTCCTCAAATGTCAACCCAGCAATCAAAATACAGGTTTAAATAGCATTTAAAATTCTTTCCCCTTGACAACTTCACATTTTCTAAAGTTATATTCACCACATTCAGGTGTAAGTGAACACTTTAAAATTTTATAATATTATAATTGTTCATACAGCAGAACAATGTAGTTGACATCATACATGATGTAATAAAATAAACATTATAATAAAAAGAACTACCTACTTTTCATATAGTTCATGAGAAATTTATTACCTGTCTTAAATAGTACACATGATTTTTACCATTACATAAATAGTTCATGTGATATGTGGCTATTATACACTATCAGTCTTTATCATTACAAAAATAGTTCATGTTCAGTTGCTGTTGTACACTTAAATCTTACTATAACATAACAAGTTTATGTGCAGTTGCTGTTATTCACTATCAGTCTTACCATTACAAAAATAGTTCATGTGCAGTTGCTGTTATTCACTATCAGTCTTACCATTACAAAAATAGTTCATGTGCAGTTGCTGTTATTCACTATCAGTCTTACCATTACAAAAATAGTTCATGTGCAGTTGCTGTTATACATCCAGTCTTACCATTATATACATACATGTAGTTCATGTGATGTAGAGCTGTTATACACTATTTATCTTACTATTACAATAAA